TATGAACATGGGAAAGTTAGGTCTGATTCATTTTACTGTCTTTCTTATTCCCATCCCCTTCCTTTCCCTTCATTCCCCTTTGTCTAATCCAATGAACTTCTATTCTTCAATCCTCAGCTCTTTATTGTATGTTAGCATCCACATATCAGAAAGAACATTCAGCATTTGTTTTGGGGGGGATTGGCTTATTTCACTTAGCATGATAGTCTCCAGTTCCATCCATTTACCAACAAATGCCATAATTTCATTCTTCTTTATGGCCGAGATAGTATTCCATTTTGTATATACACCACATTTTTTGTATCCTTTCGTCTGTTGAAGGGCACCTAGGTTGGTTCCATAGTTTGGCTATTATGAATTGAGTTGTTATAAACATTGATGTGGCTGTGTCAGTGTAGTATGCTGATTTTCAGTCCTTTGGATATATGCCTAGGAATGTGATAACTGGGTCAAATGGTGATTCCATTCCATATGTTTTAAGGCATCTCCACATTGCTTTCCATAGTGGTTGCACCAATGAATTTTTTTTTAACTAAAGATAAATCAAATTTTTCATTATGGAAACTTAGACCAGTGATTACCTGCTTTCTGAACCCATTTGAAATCCAGGCAATGACTGTGGAATTTAATGGGACCTGGTAGAGCATGTAAGTTAAGTGTTCATTTTGGAGTCAGTGATTGGCCTAATGACTCAATGACTAAAGGAACCACTAGCTGTGTCACTCAAATTTCACAGGCTTCAGTTTCACTGCAAATGAGAGTCATGAAGTCTCTCTTACAGTGTTATCCTAAGTATGATAGGTCATAATACATGATAATCATGGCATATGAAATTCATGGCATAGCACTTGGGACACAGTAGTATATAAGATGATTGATATTTTTTACATTATAAGTAATATTAATGTTGAATTGGGAGAGCAATAGGCAACAATAAAAAATCTCCTGGTCCCAAAATTCTTGTCCTTCTGTGGGTAGACAATTATCTAGAAATGTAACTCAATCACACACACACTGCACACCACCACCACCTCTACCCCCAAACTGCTTAATTACTTTGGGCTTTTGATATAGATTCTGAAGCCAGACTGCCTGGGTTCAGATTTTGTCTCTAACAATATCTCTACAAACCAGGGAAATTTATTAACTGCACTATGCATACTCCTCATCTGTAGAATAAGGATAATAATAGTACCTTTCTCATACATGACTTGAGAATTAAATGAATCAACGTATGTACAGTACTGAAATAGATCCTATTATACAGCGAATCCTTGGTAAATATTAAATATTCTATGCCAATTGTTAGCTCCATATTACACATCAAGTATGCTACATAGAAATACTTTGTTCTTTGAAGTTTCCCATAATTCAAATCATATACATCAATAAAAGATACACTTAACATATAAATTATTATCCTTACAATGAATGCACATTTCTATGTTTTAAGCAAACAAACAAACAAAAAGAAAAAAAAACAGTATGGGGAAAATTTCAAATATGCCTACATGCAAAAGCATATTTCAGGATATCCCCTCAGAAAATATCAAAATCTGTGAATGTTCAAATATCTCATATAAAATGGCATAGTACTTGCATGTAATATATGTACATTCTCCTTTCTACTTTCAATCAGTTCTAGATTGAAAGACAATCAATCAATCAGATGATGCCTAATACAATGTAAATGCTATGTATTTACTACACTATATCATTTAGTGAATAATAACAAGAAAAAAAAAGCCTGTTCATGTTCAGTATAGATGCAATTTTTAAAGTATTTTTCCATCCTCAATTGGTTGAATTTATTTATGTGCAACTTATGGATGGGGAGTTCTGACCAACAAGATTATGAACTTTTAAGGTAATAAATGTAATAATGCATACGGCCAATTCCCTTTCCCTCTACTGTTTAACATTTGAACTCTATTAATTCCTTATTTCTGAACAAGTTTGCTCCTTATTGCATAAGCATGTTGGAAACATTGGAAGCAGCCATTTAATTTTACTTTCAACATTATTTCTTGATGCTGAAATATTAATTATTTTTGAGGATCATCTCTTTTTTAGCAATGATATTCAATAATGGTACTAGAGTTTCTTCATGAGGGGTGCCATGAAACTCTGTTAAAAATCTCTCTTACATTATTTGATTTTTTTTAAATGTGGTCAAATATACATAGCATAAAATTTACCATCTTTACCTTTTTGAAGTTTTAAATATATTCACCCTAGTTGTGCAACTAGTCTCCAGAAAACTTTTCATCTTGCAAAACTGAAACCCTATAGCCATTAAACAACAACTTCCCTTTCCTCTCACCCCCAGACCCAGCAGGCATTATTCTGTTCTATCTCTGTTGACTACTCTAGGTACCTCATGTAAATGTAATCATACACTGTCCTTTTTTGACTAGTGTATTTCACTTAGTATGATATGCTAAAGGTTCATCCATATTGCAGCATGTGATAGGATCTCCTTCCTTCTTAAAAATGAATAGTACTCCATTGTATGTCTGTATCATGTTTTGTTTATCCATTTATCTGTCCATGGACAATTACTATTGTAAATAATTATGCTATGAACATAGGATACAAATATCTCTTAGAGACCCTGCTTTCATTTCTTTTGAGTATTGCTTGGTTTAGAGGTAATTTATCCCTGCACAACTCATGTTGAGGCTCGGTACTCAATGTAATTGTAATGGTTACTTGGAAATGTCAACTTGATTGGATTAAGAGATCCCCATGATTGAGGTTTCTGGGTGTGTCAATGAAGGTGCATCTAGGAATGACTGGCATGTGGGATATCTTACTGAAGTGGAGACCCTCCCCAAGCATGGACAGCACCATCCAACAGGTTGGAGGATTGGATGGAATAAAAGTAGAAAGAACAAGGAAGTAGCAGCAGATTCAAGCTCCATTCTTCTTGATTAATTGCTACTGCGATCACCTGAGGACATCACTCTTACTGTCTTACTCTTCCAAAGCAGACTCTGCCAGTGATTCTCCAGGAGTTTCCAGAAGCCTTCAGTCTCAGACTGTTTTAGCATCATTAATCTCTCTTGGTTTGAGGCTTCAGCATCCTGGACTACACAGCTACTTGTTCTTCCACCTCTCCAGCCTGCAGATAGCCATTGTGGACTATGCAGCTTCTGGTTGAGTAAAATAATCTAATAAATCCCCTTTTTATAGTCATACCTCCTATTGGTTTTGTTCCTGTAGAGAACCCTGACTAATGCAGGAATGGTGTTGAAAAGAGGTGGGTACTTTAAGAGCCCTTTGGGGTCCTGGTCATGGGGGAAGACCCGAAATGAATGGCTTCATATCTTTCTTGAAGAAATTGACTTTTTCTTTTGGTGGTGGTGGGGTACTGGGTATTGAATTCAGGGGTACTCAACCACTGAGCCACATCCCTAGCCCTATTTTGTGTTTTATTTAGAAACAGGGTCTCACTGAGTTGCTTAGCACCTCTTCATTGTTGAGGCTGGCTTTGAACTCATGATCCTCCTGTCTCAGCCTCTCAAGCCACTGTGATTACAGGCATGTTTTACTAACCAGGTCAGCTCCTATGTCCCTTCTCTTTTGCACATGCCTACCTACCTTTATGTTATAAAGTGTTCCCTCATTAGAACTGAGAAAATGATAGCACCATGCCCTTGGTCTTCCAGAACCATAGACCAAAGTAAGCCTCTTTCCTTTATATATTAAGCAGTCTCTGTTATTCTGTTAGAGCAACAGAAAATGTTAAGGACCTACGCAGAAGTAGAATTGCTGGATTATATGGTAATTCTATTTTTAATTTTTTGAGAAATTACCATACTGTTTTCCTTAGCCATTGCACATTTTATGTGTTCCTACATGAAGTACATGAAGGTTCCAATTTCCACATCCTTACCAACTCCTATTTTTTATTTATTTTTTATTTTTTGTGGTAGTAGGGATTGAACCCAGAGGTAGTCTACATTTCCAGCCATTTTAATTTTTTTATTTTGAGACAGGGTCTCTCTCTAAGTTGCCCAGGCTGGCCTCAAACTTGTTATTCTTCTGTCTCAGCCTCTCAAGTATGCCCAGCAGACCTTAAATTTGAGGTCATCTAATTTATTTTTTTTCTCTCAATGCTATGCTTATATTTTCAGATTCATATATAAATTTATATTTTATGCATGGGGTTGGAACGAGAATCATTAAAAACTTAAAATTAGAAGTTTGTAACCTCACTTTCTTACTTTATGTTTTAATGATCCAGCAAATTTCATCTGATCTCAAACTCTTAAACTTAACAGTGCTAGAAGACTACTGCAAAATGTTCTCCTGTAACCAGTGAAATGTTCAGTTTGTAACTGAAGGGGCTGAGCTCAGTATAATCTTTGGATTTACCATGTTTGTAACTGAAAAGTAGATTATGACAGTGAAGTTTCCTCACTCATTTTGACCAACTATGTCTGATGACCAAAGGAAAAAATATTTCACTTTCCATTTCTGAAGCAGGATCACACGTTAGGCATTTTTCATGTATTCTCTCACTTGTAAGGATATATTGCTATGCTCATTTCCTGGATGAGGAAACTGGTTCAAAAAATTAGTTGTTTTCTTATGTTCATATGTTCACTGGTCAGTTTCTATTACTATAAAAAAAACTCTTTAGATAAATTAACTTAAAAATAGAAAAGATTCAGTTTGGCTCACGTGTTTTGAAGTTTCAGTTCATGGTCCATTGGCCCATAGCTTTTTTTGTTTTTCCTATTGTTTGGGGGCCTATGCTGAGGCAGCACAACATGGTGGGAGGGATGGTAGAGGAAACTGCTCACCTGATGGTGGACAGGAAGAGACTGGTTGCCAATATCTATTTCCAGAACCTGCCTCTGGTGACCTAACTTCCTCCCACTAGGCCCCACCTAGCTCCAGAGGCCTTTGGGGAACATTGATCCAAGCCATAGTAATATGCAAATGGTGCAGAAGTGAGCTAAATTCAAATATGTATGGTCCCCAGCTTGTGCCTCCCGTTCTTGCCCTGGCACATCAGACCTTTGAGCAGAAAGACTGAGGAGCCCTTTGGGAGCATGGAGATACAAGTGAGGGTGATCACATTTCCTGAAGCCATCACTACCTCTTCATAGACCATCTGGGAATCCAGACCCTTGACTTCAAACATTCCCAAGGAGACCTGCAAAACAGTGAGTAAATAAACAGAGCCAACGCTGCTGCAGCAGGAACACCACCATGGCTACTAGGCATAAAATTGGAGCCCCTGGTTTGTTTACTCTACAGCCTGTGCATGGAAGCCAGAAGGCACTGAGATGCCAGGATGGTGCTCTCAAAAGTGCCTGCATCTCAGTCCTACCTGCTGTCACACGTGGAACAGGAAGCCTGTGTGTGGGGTGGGGGCGGGGGGCCTGTGAATAACCACCAAGAAAAGCAGCTCCCTGAAGGCAGATCAGCATACTGGGGTCAGGATGCACCACACAGACACGAGATGTCTTCACGCACGCGTGTGTGTGCATTTTAAGTACCTATTAAGATCTGTCAAACTTGATCAAGTGTCTTTAATTAAGTGTCTGGGCCAGTCTGTATGCACACATAATGCAACTATTCATTTCTACCCACTTGTAACTTGATAAACCTTCACTATGGAATTTCATGCGAACTTATTTATTGAAGCAAGTAAATAAAACACATGGTGAAAGAATTTTTTTTTTTAATTTTGTCCACTCCTAATTTTCCAGGAAACATTTTTTTCCTACTTTTTTACACATGAAACTTCATCTGTTCATGCAGTCAAATTAGAATTTAGAAAGTAGAGGTGGGCAAATGATCACTTAATTGTCAAGTATCCCTTGTGAAGTTTTTGTTTCAAATGCTTGGGCTAGCATTGGATACAAGGCATTGTGTCTAGCATTACTACTCTTAATTTTTAATCCCATGTGTATTTCAAGGGGAATTTAATCCATCTGGTTCTGATTCACTTACTCTTAACTCATCAAAGTGCTACAGTGTAATTGATGTTTGATGTCCAAAATGCCTGTTGGGGTTTTTAAGACTTTATGAAGATTCCTCCCCCGCTCCCTAGCCAGACTGTTTATCCTCTCTACAGCACCAAACACAATCAAGAAGTTATATTTTATTTACCTGACATAGTTTCAAATAACCAGTAACGTGTACTTGAGCAAATGTCAAAGCTCCAGCCTGATGCAGTCATGATTTTGAAAGCAAAGCCCTTGGTAGCAGATTGCTGGAGGCTGCGTGTGCTCAGCAGTGTCTGGCTGCCCATGAGTGGAGGCCACACACTCCAGACTATCCCCTGGCATGGGGTCTGCACCCACACTGCTGTCCCAGGCACCAGAAGCTGTGATCTGAAACCTCCTTCATCTAGCACTGCGCGCACATGGCGCCACAACCTCTCCCCCACCCATGGCACACACAGAATAAATGGGCCCCCAGACAAAGCTTTCTCATCATGTGTGTCCTCTGTGACTTCAAAACAAGTTCTTAACTCAGTCAAGCCCTGCTGGATCAGGCAGACGACCGTCTCAGCTGCTCAGCTTGTTCCAAATTCTGCAAGAAGAACATCCTGCCATTGTCTTAGGCCATGGCACTTTTTCAAAGAATGACCACAAAACGCTTAACTATCTCTTGTGACAAAAAGAAAACTCAAATAATAATAATAACAACAACAACAACAATAGAAGAGAGATCAGTAGACTAAAGCAAGCAGATGGGGGGAGGGAGGAAAGAAAGAGGAGAGGGAAAGGGAAGGTATTGGGAAATGAGACAGATCAAATTATGTAACGTATATGTACAAATATGGCATAATGAATTGCACTACTGTGTATAATTATGATGCACCAATTTTAAAAAATGAAAGGAAAACTCACTCTACCATTTCAAAAAAAGAAGTTGCAGAATTTTAGTACCAAGAGTGGTCTTTAAGATCATGTGATCTTTAAAATGTTCATTATCCAGGCATCTGCAATATTAAACTGTTCATTTTTATTTCTGAGTTTGTTCTTTGTTTTAAATGTTTGGCAACATGTGGTCATGGCCTTAGTTGGCTTCTCTACTCATTAGTCACTTAATAAACGTTTACTGACCACCTACATTGTGTCAAACACTGCAAGGCCCTGAGGGTTTTGGTGGGGAAACAGCCTGGCAAGAGCTTCTCATGCAGCCTGGCAAGAGCTTCTCATGCAGTCTCCGCCCAGTGAGCGCTGACAGCCCAGAGACCTTGGTCCTGCTGATGCTGGGCCTTTCTGAACCAATATCTTGACACATACATGGGACCAATGCAGACAGAGGTAAAGAATTGCCTGCTCATCCATCACAAGAAAAAGTCTAAATTCTAAGTCATTCTTTACTTCCAATATTAAAGATCAAATGCACGACCATTTATATGAACTCTTGTACTCCAAATTTCACTGTGCAATGTTACATCATAACCCTCAACAGGTTGAAGATTTTACTGGCGCTCCTAGTTCTGAATGTAAAGAAGAAATTCTTAGAAGTGAGGAGGTTACTGCGCCAACTTTTCCCATGTGATAACTAGTAATACTTCAATGAATTTAAAGAAATTGAAAGTCTCTCCTTTTGAACTGACTTTTGCTAGTGTTTCCATCTCCCTTAACAAGCATGTTTTAGATCATAAAGGGAAAGTTTTCAGGCTGTGGAATCATCTTCTATTGACATCACCTGAATTTTTAGGACCTCAAATAGGAGTCATACTGGGAAAAGAATGAGCCGAGCCCAAATCAGGAAGTCTGGGGCTTACCCTGCCAGGACATAGGCTCCCTAATGGGTGCAACAGAGGGCACTGCCTGCCTTTCCTTCTCCACTGAATTTAAGCAGATGCAGTTAGGCACAGTTCGAGGGAGTGTGTGGAAATATAAGTATTTGTGTTGGTGTGTGGTTGTCAGGCCTAAGTCAGGCAGTAATTTCTATGGGAGCACAAGATAGGCACTAAATTTTGCACTCCCCCTCCAAATGGTACACAAACCTCTTAATCTGTCTTCCTGCAGGAGGGCTTCCCTGGCACTGCCCGGTCTGAATTGGGGGCCAGCCTTTCCCTGGAGCCCCTTCCCGTGAATTACAGTCTGTGGCATGGGGGCTGAATAGAAAACAGTCTCCTGAAATTCAACTGGAAGGTCTGACCGGAATTCAGCCTAATGTGGAGAATGGCAGGAAGGCTTCTATTATTCTGCTTCATTCTATCTGCTGTGAGGCAGTGCGGCGCCTGGAGTCTGACTGAGCTTAACTCATTTCCCTGGATTTCCGAGTCACAGCCACAATGCCTGCTAAAGCCAAATATCTCACTCCTGAGACTCACTACACTTCCTGATATAGGATGCACTTGCTTGTCTCCTGTTGACCTTAAACACTAATAAAGGAATCATAATATGACCTAGACGAGACCCAGGAGCCAATCAGAATGCAAATGATTGATGGGAGTGCTTTCAGCTCTCTACTGTTTGCCCTGACATTTTGGTGTAGTTCTTTTATTATGATTGTGTGGGTAAGAGACCTAAAAATACATGACAGCCATCACTCTCCACAGGGTAGAAGGTTAATCCTAAGGTGTGGCAAAAAGAAACTCTTTGTTAGAGTCACACGCACATACTGTAGCTTTCGCTCTCCCTTCTGTCTTGCTGAAGGAGTGACAATGGTGCATTGGAAACAGTTCTCAAATGGGAACCGTCTCTGATTCTGGGAATGGGAGTGAGGGGAGCAGTTTCTCTCATTTGCATGGCTGACTACTTGATCTGCTCTGCTTCCCTCGCTCAAATGTTATCCAGTGATTGGTGTTTCATCAGGAAGGTCATGAATTCAGTCTTCTCCTTTTTTTCTTTTGTTTCTTAGAAAATATGATAAACATTTGATCTGCTACATGATGTGGATCTACGATTTAAATACCTTCTCAAATTATGACAAAAGACTGGGGAGACTGGAGTCATCTCTTATGTTGGCTTGTTGTCACATTTCAAGTGTCCTTAAGCTCAAATTTCTCTGTTTTGGGAAAGGCATTTATTTTTATTTCCACTATGTCTTTTCCTATCTATTTAATACATTTAGATTCAGATAGTCATTTTTTATCAAGCTGGACAGAGTGGTAGGCTGCCCAAATATTAGTTGCCCTTTTGTTTTTGGAAAGTGTCCATTAAGTAGACAACACACAAGTAGTGTTTGTGTAACCCACCCTGGAAGGTTGAGTCTGCCATCCTTGGTGAGCAATGGCCTAAGGTGACCAGGAATGGTCATCCTCCATGAGCTAAGGTAACTGAGGTCAGATTCCTCTATCCACTCCATCTGTGTTCTGGTCAGATGGCAGCTCCCAGCAGGTGAGAGATATGCCACAAACATCCCTGGCTTCTTCTGTTAGCTTGTCATGATTCCACAACCTATTGAGTCCTTCCTTTTCCTATTTATAAATATATCCTCTAACATATTTTGGAGTAACAAGTTTCCAATCTTAATATATATTATTGTGCAAGTTTTTCTACTTTTCTTCTTATCATAATCACTTTTCATTTTAAGATGTACAACTATATTCAATAATTTTATGAATATGCTATTCTAAAAGTTTCTGAGATCTTTTATATGTGTGTGCGTGTGTGTGTGTGTGTGTGTGTGTGTGTGTGAGAGAGAGAGAGAGAGAGAGAGAGAGAGAGAAGTTTCTGATATATATCACATATATTTTTCTTTAATACTTCCATTTCCTTTTTTTTCCTTTGAACACTGGTGTGATTAACCACTGAGCCATATTCCCAGCCCCTTTTTTAAAAATTTACATTTTAAGACAGGATCTTGTTAAGTTGCTTAGGGCCTCGCTGAGGCTGGCTTTGAACTTGCAGTCCTCCTGCCATAGCCTCCCAAACTTTGCTGGAAGTACATGCATGTACCATCCCGCCCAGCTAATATTTTCAAGTCTATGATGGAAAATTGTATCATTTCTTTTCAGTCTATTTTATTAGATTCAGATTTAACTAACATTTTTAATTACACTATTAGCTGGGTACTGCGTTGTAGTCTTTCTTACATCATCAATGTACTTAACATTTATTGAGTTTACAACATGCCAGAAATTGCTTAAATGCTTTTTGTCAATTTTCTAATTTAATTATTACAATCATTCTACATAGAGATTTACCTTGATCCTTACTATACAGATGACAAGGCTAAGGTGAAGAGAATTTAAGTGTCTTGTTTAAGGTCAAAGATCAGGAACCAAGATTCACATCCAGATGCTTACTGATACAAGCATCCTCTATCCCTTTTAACTGTTTGTATAAATCCAAAGAAAACTAGTTTTAATTCTAGTAGGTGCTTGCCTCATCTAATTAATTCTTAGAACTGTTTATTTCAAACGTGTAATTCATATAAATTTTGTAAAGTAAATTTCTGAATTATTCTTCTACCTATTGTAGATTGATACTGACAGAGAGAAGCTAACCCAATGCAGTATCTGAGAAGAATGCAGAGTCATTATAGGTGAGCAAACATACTCTCCAAGACAAACATATTTTAATTCTCATCAGCAAGAAAGTTAGAAATGATTAATACACAGCTATGGTTTGTACCTCTGGAGCTTATTTTAATTGATTTGCTGTGTTTGGTTACTCAGTTTGGTTGTGAAAATGTTAACAAATATTAGTGGTCATCTAGAAAAAGAAAATTCTCCATTATGTTCTGGAGCAAGAAATAAAAGTCTTTTAAAGTCATTTAAATATGTGCATGCTCAAAGAGCTATTCTTTCACTTCCCTTTAAATTCATGCCCATTTTCTTAATCCTTACTTCCAAAGACTTATTTTCCATCTTCTTAATCACCTTTGAAGACCCTCCAAGTTCTGTTTCTCTCAAGTTATGAAGACCAAAAACAGTCACAATTTACCAACACTCAGTAAAACAGGGAAGCTGTGTGAAGGTCTTTACACTCTCTTCTTGTATTCTAAAATTTCTCATATTATGTTTTCAATCAAACACCACATTATAACACATTGCTTCTGCTTATTTACCACAAAAACAATCTCCAGTTTTTGGTTATTGGTACTTTTAGTTATTGTTTTGTTTGCACTTCCAAATTAAAATTTACAAATGCGTGATTTAGTTTTCATCTTGAGTAAACTACCTGACTTTTCCACTTAATTTCAAGCCTAGGGAGGTTTTGTTTTGATGTGCCACTCAATTTAGAGGCATCTGCATACTTGGTGTTTGCTCTGCTACCCTATTTACAACTTTCACCTTAGCCGGGTATGGTAGTGCATGCCTGTAATCCATCAGTTTAGGAGGCTGAGGCAAGAGAATCATGACTTCAAAGTCAGCCTCAGCAACTTAGCGAGACCCTGTCTCTAAAAGTACCAAAAAAAAAAAAAAAAAAAAAAAGGCTGGGGATGTGGCTCAGTGGTTAAGTGTCCCTGGGTTTAATCCCTGGTACCAAAAAATAAAATAAAATAAAAATAAAATAAATAAATAAAACTTCCACTTTAAACATAATCTCAGCATCATACCTATAGAATAAAACATTTCCACAGGATGCCACAGCAACACAGTATTCCCCTCTGAATTCATAGCCTAGTATACTTTTGTACTGTACTAACTCTAAATTCTTAGTCCAATCTTCAAATGCAGCTGAACAGATTTCCAAGTGGAAATAATATCATTTGTAAAGCAAAGCACCACTTGTTATTAAAATTAAGAAGCTCCTAACATAAATTTGATGTCATTTGTAGATGAGAAAACTGGGCTTGATGAAGTTGGTTTCTTCAATGATGCAACCAGCCCTGCTTCAATTCCTCTCTGGAGGGAGGAAGACTCAAAATTTCAGAAACACACAACTCCATTCCCATAGGGTAAGTGTACAGGGGAAGAGAGAGAGTGAACTGTGGCTTCCTGCAGGGCTGCTTTCTGCTGTAGCATCAGCAACACTTACCCTTGAATCTCCAAGAGCTTGTCTTCTTCCAACAGGCTGACTCAGATGAGTCTAGCCTTGTTTATCTATTTTTAAAAGTACACATCAGGAAGAATGCCATAATGTCTCTTATAAAAATGTCACCAAAATGCTTCTTGGTGATTTCTCAGCAAGTATTTAATGGCCAGATTTAATTTTTCACTGTCATTTTACCAGATTGTTATTGAAGCTAAATATTTAGCCACTATTGCATGCATTGATAATTAACAATCAACAAACTGACTAATGAATTATATTGATGAACTATTAAACCATGATATAGTATAATAATAACACAGTCTGACTGGAAAAATTACTTTAAGGAAAACATCTCTTATGGGTTTTTAACCATTCACACATAATGAAATAAAATATGTGTGTTTGATTTTCCAATTATGTTACCGAAGCCAAAATAGGATCTTGTCAGTTTTAGATTTGGCAAATGCTTGGTTTCTGATGCATTTGTTTCAGACTGTGGTTGTTGGATGAAAAGAGTACAATTTTTTGCAGGTAGCAAGGGGTATAACTAATTTTCATTATTCTCAAAGTTCAATCACAGGAAAAAGAGTTCTATATTTCTCCAGAAAAATCTAAGATGCTTGATTGTAAAGAAGCCTCTGAGATTATCTATGTCAGTATGCTCTAAGGAGCCTGAAGAATTCTTCAGGGACACCTAAGGACCTGGGCAGGGGAAGAGTCCCAGCAGGTTGGATGGAGGAGGAGGGAGATGGTTTGTGCTGCCCTGAGACATTCAACTCTGAGTTGAGCGGCTTCACCTTAAACCATTTTACTATTTGCACTTCATGCAAGGCTTCATTTGAAGAAAGACCCATGCATTATCAATAATGCTTATAATATCACTAATAAAAAAAGGACTTAAAATCATATGCCAAAATTTGTAAGCAAGGTAACTGAGTTTCAGAAAGAATAAACACTTTATTCAAGGTGAGACAGTGAGTAAAAATTTGGTTGAATTCACTGGGTGCCTTGGCACACACTTGTAATCCCAGTGACTCCGGAGGCAGAGGCAGGAGGATTTCGAGTTCAAAGACAGCCTCAGCAATTTATAGAGGCCCTAGGCAACTCAGTGAGACCCTCTCTCTAAACAGACATAAACAAAATACAAAAAAAGGTTGGGGGTATGGTTCAGTGGGTAAGTGCCCCCTGGGTTCAATCACTGGTACCCCCCCAAAGAGGGATTTTTTTTGGTTGAATTAATGATTCCCCCCCCATCAAAAGGCTATAATCAACTTAATATTTATCAAAGTCCTACTAAGGGTACGGTATTGTGCTAGTCCTCTGAGGAATAAATAAAATAAGTCCTAGCCCTAGGATAGAAGCCTAATATAACTTCTAAAGGAGAGAAAAAACAGAAGTGGGAAAAAGAACTACTGAAGATCATCCTATCTGACCTACTTGTTTTAGAATTTAGCAGTTTTCTTAAAGTCACCCTTCAAGTAAATGGCAGAATCAGAACATGCATCTGAACCTTCTTACTCCAAACATAATGCCCTCGTTGCTACATCAGTATACCAGATTGATTCATGAACACCTAATCTCTACGATGATCTTTCACTTGAAAAAAAATCTAATTGCATACTTGCATATTAAAGGTTCTAAGAAGTCTTACAGTAAAGAAAATTGCCTGGTCACTTCCGTAAATTATTACCATGGACTACAATCCATGTCATGTACATTCATATCCCAAAGAACACAGTTTGAGAAATTCTATACTATACCTCTCCTCCCCTAGATGTTAACTAGATTTGAAACTGGGATCTAGTAGAATCTTCTTTTAGAAATTCTATTTCCACACTTTGCATATAATTGTGGCTTGAGAAATGTGATCTCAGTAATAAGTGTTAGACCTGATACACTCTTTATAAACCCATACTGTTTTTGAATGTTATAGAAAATATTAAATTCATATATCAAAATGAATAAAATGCAAATATACCAAATATTAACAATATATTATTTAGTTTTAAAATCAGTTCACACCTGCTCAATATTTGTCATGAAATTTTCAATGTATATTTGTATTCCCCCTAAATATAATGCATGCATTATAATTCATTTGAAATGTTGGATTAAATTTCGTAGAATTATTTGGTGAATACCTCTTTGCTCAATTTTCAAAGATAAATAGCTTTACTGCAAAGGGAAAATCAATTTGCTTTCTTCTAAAACATATATATCTTGGTACATTTTGGTTTGCTCAGAATGCTAAAAATAAAAGTCATAAGTAGTGAATTCCCTCTCTCTCAACAAAACAAAAAAAAAAGAAAGAAAGAAACATTTCAGGTAAGTCAAACTAAAATAATACCACAAAACTTGGGAGAGAACCTGTCCTTGCAAGATTTGCAGACCAATTTTTCAAGATCAAAAGTGTTTATATAAGCTTGCAAAAATTTTGGATCTTTTCCCAGACTAAATCTCTAACACTTCTGAGGCTGCCCCATCACTAATATTTACAATATCTTTGACATATCATGAGTTGGACTCATAGGCCTTTCTGATAGGCAGGCTTCCTAATATGATGGGGTGCTGGAATAGTTCATTGTGTGAGAGGCAGTCAGATGATACTGGCACTTTGCAACAGGAAGGAAATGATTGGTACGTGCCCTGAGCCTGTTGTATCTTGTCAGTTTTGTCAGTTGGGAAATGTCCTTGGGGACCCATTAGTACATAGACAGCCATGTGGCCCACCTGAGGTACACTCCTTGCCAACTTATTTGAGCTCTCTGTTTAGGTAGTGTTCCTTTCTGTAGTATTACATTTCCTTATAGAAAATGTTTAGAAACAGGCTCTCAAAATATGCTATTTCTCTTAACCCTTTATAATAACAGTTAGCATAGTGCCTTACACTTAAAATAAGACTTAAAATTAAAAGTTAAAATAAGACTTTTCAACAAATTCATGCTGCTACCAAATTGGTAGATGTAAAATAAACTTTGAGCTCTCTGGTAACATATCCCTGTAATGATCCTTCTATCTACTGTGACTTATTTTATTCCCAAATCTTTTCATTTATAACAATGCTTCTCGTGATTGCATAATTATTACAACTTTATTGTCAAGGACAGAGATAAAATAAAGTCAGAGGAGATTTTTTACCCACCAAATTAAGATTCTTCTCACAAATCTGTATTGTTACTTGGCCCTGTTTAAGAGATCCATTTCCCTGGACTAGGAGGGCTCATACCTAGAACATTCATGCTTAAACGTCTCCTGTATTAGAAGTATTTTCTGGGGTCAGGTATAACTGTGTTAGGTACAACAAAGATGGATGAGATGTGGACCCTGTTCTCAGAGAGCTTTATTCTAATTGTGGAATCAAGAGAAGCACATTAACAGCTGGTACCACTTACCAGTCACCAGTGAGTGGTATTAGCACAATTATAGGAGAGTGGTTCAGATGTTCACATAGAACAAAAAGGAGAAGAAGAGGAGGAGGAGGAAGAAGGAGATGGTAGGAGGAGCAAAGAGACTGATAACTATCTGTTTTATATCCCTTTAGAGAATGTTAGATATAAACAAATACACTATCTTCATTCAACATGCTACCCTTTTAAAGCCAAAATAAGACTCGACTCCTGTTCCCCCACATCTTCCAGCTCTGACCATTCTTCCTGAGACTAGTGAGTCTTCTTCTCGATCATCCTCAGTGTCCAAGGCTTACCTTTTTATTTTGCTACCCTGCCCTGGCCTAGTTCTTTATGGAATTTAATCATTCACTTCCGAGAGTTCTGTAGCATAATAAGCAAGACACCAATTTTAAAGTATAATAGCAGCAGTGAGCACACCCATGATGATGACTCCAGTTGGGGTTCTCTTCCCCAAATGGCTCCATGTTCATTAATGTGACTGGTTAACTTATAATTTGCAGTCATATGTTGGGCTGGGGATGTGGCTCAAGCGGTAGCGCGCGCTCGCCTGGCATGCATGCAGCCCGGGTTCGATCCTCAGCACCACATACAAACAAAGATGTTGTGCCCACCAAAAACTACAAAATAAATATTAAAAATTCTCTCTCTCTCTTTCAAAAAATAATTTGCAGTCATATGACATGGCCTTAAGCAATTTTTAAGGCAGCTCCCAGGTGACCTGGGAGCAACTCTTAACAATAAAATATTTAAGAAGGCAGGCAAGAGCTGCCCTGTCAGAATATGTCCGGCACAGCAAGGCCTCCAGTTGAAGGAATTCATTGCAAGTGGCTGCCTAACTGCCATGGTGATAGAAATTTAACCCAAGTGTTTTCAGGTAACTGCCAGCCCTGGGCCTGGCTGCCTTCCACGGGCCCCACAGCGCACAGCCCTATGCAAAGCGGGTGTTTTATAGCAAGTAATAGCAACACAGCTGTTTGCATTAGAACTTAACCCAGGTATGCCAGACAGCTGTGCCAAAGCACGTCTTACCATTAATTCAAAAGCTACCCACAGAAGAACACCATTTGGACCTGACCGTTGGCTTCAGTTCCTTGTCAAGATCTAGTTATTTAACTCAATTTAATGAAATGTTTTGAGTACCAATTTGACACTTTAAAATAAGGAAGGTGCAGGCGCTAACCCAGAGACAGAGATGCCATCCATACCCCTAAACAACTCAAACAACTCTCTAGACACACACACACACACACACACACACACACACACACACACACACACATATATATATATATATATATATATATATACACAAATGTGATAATTCAATGAAAGGTGCAAAAATGAAAAAAAATATGAGCTAAATGATGATACTAAAAAGAGAATGGTTACTTTTGACTAGAGGAGTCAGGAATGACTTACCAAAGGTGACAGTATTTGAATTGGACTGTGTACAGTACATAGAAACTCTCAAAGCACAAAAGAGACAGAAACAGCCCAATAGACTGAGGGAATA